CTTTTCAAAACCCATTCCAACAGTTCTATATCCCTCCTGTTCCTTCTGCTCACACTCCCTGCTGCTCCTTAATCTCTCTACCCTCTCCTTGAGCTCTGCCACCACCATCATCATATCACCATAGATCATATATCTTTCACCATACAGTAAAAACCAGCAGAAACTGAAGGCATTATTGTTGCTATTTTTTTGTGAAAAGCATTAAACCTTTCCACTTTCCTTTGAATTTCTTTTAAGCAAAGAATGACTTCTCACATGCACCTCTAAAACATCTTTAGAATTTCAGTAATGAATGTTGATTTACATAAACATTTGCCTCATGAGATGCAGCTGCTCTCTTTGGTCCTGTTCCCAAAGAGCTTTATGAAAAAGAAAAAAAACAAAACCATACCAGATAACTGAATTCTCATTTCCAATGGACAAAGAAGTGTTACTCATTTTGTTTACCATTTCATAAGCATAAACTAGAGAGGAAAGAGCCTTTTTAAAGCACTGTAGTAAGATTAGCTAGACACTTAAAATTTATTAAATCAGTTACGAAACACCTTCCTTCATAGCACAGTAAATTCCCAAATTCCATTGACAGTTTGCATTATTAACTTGTACCTTTTTCGGCTGCTTTCTGCAAGGCTTCCTCAATTCTGGCCAGCTCCTTTTGTTTATTATCTTGCAAGTACTTTTCTTCCTTCTCTGCATCATATTTAATGCCTGTAAGCCAAGTTGGGACAGCATTACCCTACATTGCAAATGATGTAAATGCATAATCAAGCAATGTGCACATTCTGAACATTATGTTGCAAAATGACACTTTAAACAAAGGCTATTCTAGTTGCTGAAACCTCCATCCTGCCCCTGAAAATAGTAGGATACAAAAGCTTCTACCAACATTCAAGCACTGTTTTACAGGAGTACCTTTCCACATATAATGAGGCATGTAAACGTGCTCTGCACTGTATAACATGGTGTGATTTCTGCTACACCTGTACATGATATTCCAGAAATTTTAAAGTTTTCTTATTATAACAAAGCATCTGACATCAGAGAAAGGAAATTAGGTTCCCTGATCTTCTCCCCTCCATAAAAATCAGTTCTAACAGAATTATTGCTATTGATTGTTATTAATTAGGAGCAGACTGTATCTTGCAACAGTCAAAAGACCTAAACCATGGTAGAAGAGTGGATTCAAGATAGCACACATCAAAGGAATCACGTTTGTTAAACTGAACTTAGAACGCACAGACACAACCAAGACTTTCCATAAAGGCAACAAGTGCTCTTTTTGCCCACCATTCTTCCACTCACTTCTCTGCATTTGTCTAGAAAGTTCCCTGGGGAACCGAGTGTGAAAAACAGCAGCTTATTTAATGGTACCTTTGGATATTTATCTCTTTGATTATTTCACTATGCTGAGATTACTTACTTGCTCCAGGAACTATAAGAAGATACAAGCCTTCTAGAGTTGCAACAACTGCTTCACCATACAAGTTCTTCCAAGGAATCTTCAGAGTCAGTTTATCTACAAAAAACAGATAAAAGTTAACTCAAAGAAAAACCTACGCTGTGATTAGTTTGAACATATAGTGAGGTCATTAGTTCTATTTCTTCATGTTCTAAATGCCTTAGAAGTTGAGGAGAAACTGTGTGAGTACATCTTTTATGAAGCCCTTGGAGTTAAAAATACACACAGAGAAAACGCGAGCAAGAAGTTGCAGTTTTGAGTCCAAAGACTTCAGATCAAAAACTGAGACTGTGATTGGATTGGAATAGAATACATTTATTTCCAAAAAAACATTTCATTTGAAAAAGCAACGCAGACCTTTAGGGAAAGAATTTTTAACAACATGTATCTAAGAGCTGCTAAACTCTTGGCACGTCTGCCAATCTTTCAGCAATCATACTTAAGTTCTTCATATTCTTAATCCACCCTTTGAAGAGACACACATTCTAGCTCTACTAAACAGCTCCCTTGATCATCCACGTACCTGTGAAACATTTCAGATACATTTTTCACACTCAGTCTATAATGTTACACAAACAGTGTTACTCAGGGAACTTTTTATCACTTACGTAGGGCAGTCACATTAGACATCTGCACTAGTTCAACAGCAAGTACTATTACAGAGACCACCTAAGAAACCTCCATAAAAGAAATTGAAAGGCAAGACTGATCTTGAGGCTTGTACTCAAAATTCCATTTTAAGATTCAGGTTGAAACAAAACAAAACAAAACAAAAATCCTTACCTATCTGGCCAACTTTAACTCTGAAAGGTACATCCAGTTCACTCTGTAAAAGAAAAATAAGCATTAAACAGATTCATGTACTGCAAAGGCAACTTGGTTCAGACAGCAGAATTATTATCCTGATTACTCTTAAAACTGTGCACACAAAATTGAAGTTCCAGAACAGATGCAGCTCTCTGTATGACACAGGTATCATTAATCAGCAATGCTCATGTGAACATGGGAATCCATAAATACAGTCAGGCTTGTAGAAAGCCAAAAAACAAAGGAGTTACACATTTCTAGCACCTCTTTAATACAAGCATGACAATGCTTTGCAACAAAAGTTACCCAAGAAGTAAAGTTTCATCTACATATGAGAATATAATTTTACTTCTTCGTTCAGTCATTCCACAGGTCTTATCTTTTTGATAATCAGTACAGCACTTAGAATTTCCTAATTTTCCTTCCTTACCTACTCCCTTTCTTACTACCATGTTATAAAGATGTCTTCGTCAAGGGCTGTAAGTATAAAGTTATCAGCAAAAGAAGCAGGTAAGACATGAGCAACAAAGAAAAATGAGTGATGTCAAGCAAAAATTTAGCATGTTTTCCCTAATTTTCCTGAGTGCAGTGAGAAGCACACAGAAGTTTGTTATAATCTTTCAGTAGTACAGCTATTCTTAGCTCAGGACACAATAACCAACCAAGGATTTTTCAGACAAGAATCAGGGTACTGATTGGAAGCTCTTTCTCGCTTTTTTTCCCCCCTTCACTGTTACTCCTATTTTAACAGGAACATTTAAATAACCATATTACATGGTTAATCAGTACATACAAGTCACATTCAGACTATAAACATCTCAAACATGTCACCCTTGACAGTTTTAGCTGAGAATGAACTTACATAGCCACAAACATAAGCCTTTATTTCATCAACAGATGAAATTTCTCCCAGTGTACCCACACCTAAACACAGCATCACAGTCTCTCAGAGGACTTCAGTTATAACAATCTGCAGGAGTCAGGCTTTAAAAATCCATTTATTCAACACAAACAGAAAAAAAGAACACACAGATCTGCGCATACCAGTTGTTCCTAATAAGTTGTTCTGAATCATACAACCATCTACTGCTTAGACATACAAGTGATAAACACTATGGAAGTCCAAACTATGACCTTACGGAAATACGATTATGCAGCAGTAGAAGAAATTCAGTTCTCTAGGTTCTACTGAAAGACTAAAGCAGTAACAGAAATGTACAAACATTTTAGTTTTACTATTTCAAGTTTCAAATATTAGGACAGGTGATATCTATGTAGAATCATAGAATTTTTAAAGTTGGAAAAGACCTCTAAGATCATTTAGCCCAACCATCACCAATACTGCCCACTAAATCGTGTCCCTCCCCTTTTTTTGAACACCTTCAGGGATGATGACTCCACCATTGCACTGGGCAGCCTTTCCCAACACCTAATCACTCCTTCCGAGAAGAAATTTTTCCTAATATCGAATTTGAACTTTCCCTGCCACAACTTCAGGCCATTACCTCTCATCCTGTTGCTGCTATTTGGGATGAGAAGGGGACCCCCATCTTGCTACAAACTCCTTGCAGGCAGTTGTAGACAGCAACCCCTGAGCCTCCTCTTTTTCGAACCGAATCATCTCAATTCCATCTGCAGCTCCCTACAAGACTTGTGATCCAGAGACTTTACAGCTTTGCTACCCTTCTCTGGACACACTCCAGAATCTCCACATCTTTCTTGTAGTGAGAGGCCCAAAAACTGAATACAGTGCTTAAGGTACAACCTCACTGCTGCCAAGTACACATGGACTACTACCTCCCAGTCCTTCTGGCTGCACCTTGGCCACCTTGGCACAGTGCTGGCTCACATTCAGCTGTCAACCAGTACCCCAATCCTCTTCCTCCATGCAGCCTTCCAGTCACTCTGCCCTAAGCTGTACCCACACATGGAGTTGGTGTAACTGAAATGTAGGACCTGTACTGGGTCTTGTTGAACTTCATCCCATTGGCCTCAACCCATCAATACAGCCTGTTCAGATGCTTCTGGAGGGCCTCCCGACCCTCAGGCAGACTGACATGCAGAAAACATCAGAAACGTACTTGAAAACACCATTGGTCATTTCTCAGAAGCACTTTTCTTGGGCATGTACTTATGATATAACCTGTGGACTTTTTTCCCTGTGTTCCAATACCATTAGCAATGTCAGAAGCCGTTAACCAAGTACCATTTTCAGTAACAAGCAAAGAAGGCGCATACTGTGAAGTGAGACTACACACAGTAAGCAGACCTGGGGCTTAGTCCTTAGACCCACTGATACAGCTTGAGAATTAGTGGAATACTTACTAGTGCATTCTCCTTTATTTGTAAGTTGTCAAGTGCAACATTACCTACGTGGAAGAAAAAAGTTCAGTGATTTCAACATCTATGCACAGCAAGCTGGAACAAGGAAAACAGCCACAGCCTTCCAAATATAAGGCCTAACAATAGTGGGCACAGGCACATAAGAGTCACACATGAGGAAAACTGCACATGTAACACCAGAGTGCTTCAACACCACACTTCCTAGGGCGATGTTCTTTATAATATAGGTATGAATCATTCCCCGCCATGGCAACTGCGCAACCGAGCTGAGAAGAAACGCTTCGGCCCTCGGGGCACGCGCAGCCCCCACAAGAGCCGGCCATCAGCGGGCAGCCGCCCCGCCCCAGCCCCCTCAGGGGCACCACCCGCCGCCTGGGGGCGCCAACAGCGCGGGAAGCCGCGGCCCCGTCGACCACCGCCACCCCTCACGAGGGAGCGACGAGGCCCAGCGCCCGCCGACTGACCGCCCCCCGGGGGTGGTCCGCGGTCCCTAGCCGACCGACCGCCTCTCCGGGAGCGCCGCGGCCCTCGTAGCGACCGCCCTCCGCGGGGGAGCGAGCAGGAGGTAGGCTCCGCGGCCTCGGGCCGCCCGCCCGTTCCGCACTGGGGCCGCCAGCCCTCGGGGGACCGGAGCCAGCGAGACCCGCTCCCCGCGAGGAAGCGCCCTCCCCGGTGGCAGCGGCGGCCCCGCTGCGCCACAGAGCCGGGTCGGAACGGGCTCCTTACCCCCCCATATGCCCAGTTTGAGCTGGGATTTGTTCAGGTTCTCCACATAGTCGCCCAGGAAGCGGTTCAGCAGATCCGCCACCACCGACTCCAGCACCATAGCGGAGGCGGGCCCACCGTACGCCGCCCGCGGCCCACCGTGAGCGGAGAGCGGCGCGGAGGGGAGGGATCAGGGAGGGGTGGCGGGGCGCGGCGCGAGGCAGCGCCGGGCGCGTTCCCGCGGTCAGGTGACGGGGCGGGGCCGCGCAGTGCCACACGGAGAGCCGGGGCCGCGCAGGGGTTGAGGGGACGGCGAAGCGCTCGGGGTGGCTGCGGAGCCGCTGTTTGAGGGACTACGGGCAGGGAGAGGAGCGGCCCCGAGGCGGGAAGCAGCGCGCTGAAGGAGGCGCGGGGAGGGCGAGGGTCGCCTCGCAGCGGTGCTCGCTGATAGTTCTTCCTGTGCACAGAAGAACGTTCGTGTTCAGCCAGCCGCCCGAGTGACGTGAAAACTGACAGAAAAGGAGAACGAGGAAGGGGAAATGAGTACTGGCAATACTCAGGGCTCAAGAATACATGAAAATAAGGCAACGTGGAGACGATTAGAGACGAGGGAGGCAAATCACAGAATCACCAAGGTTGGAAAAGACCTATAGATCACCCAGTTCAACCATCCACCCATCACCAATAGGTCTCACTAAACCATATCCCTCAACACAGTGTCCAAACATTCCTTGAGCACCTCCAGGGTTGGTGACTCTTCCCTGGACAGCCCATTCCAGTGCCTGACCACTCTTTCAGAGAAGCAGTATTTCCTAACATCCCGCCTGAATCTCCCATGCGCAGCTTTCTGGTCCTATCACCAGTTACACGAGAGAAGAGGTCAACCCCCGGCTCACTGCAACCTCCCTTCAGGTAGTTACAGAGAGCAATGAGGTCTCCCCTGAGCCTCCTCCAGATTGAACATTCCCAGCTCCTTCAGCTGCTCCTCATAAGGCCTATGCTCCAGACCCCTCACCAGCTTTGTCCCCCTTCTTTGAACCCGCTCCAGGGCTTCAGAGTCTCTTGCAGCGAGGGGCCCAAAGCTGAACACAGTTCCCAGCTCAAGGTGCAGCCTTACTAGAGCTGAGTACAGGGGAACAATCACTTCCCTGTTCCTGCTGGCAACACCATTCCTGATGCAATCCAGGATGCCATTGGCCTTCTTGGCCACCTGCGCACACTGCTGGCTCCTGTTCAGCCCAGCATCAATCAATACACCCAGGTCCAATTCCTTGCACGGTCTTCCAGCCACTCTGCCCCAAAGCCTGTAGCATTGCCTGGGGTTGTTGTGGCCAAGGGCAGGACCAGGCATCTGGTCTTGTTGAACCTCATCCCATTGGCTTCAGCCCAGCTATCCAGCCTGTCCAGATCCCTCTGTAGGGCCTTGCTACCCCCAAATGCTGCTTCAGAAAGCTGATAAAAACATTGTGGAGACGAATGCAAGGGTGTTTTGAGAAACCACCGCTAAAGGAGCAAGTTTTTGCAAACTGATAAAAGTCTATGAGCAGCTGTAAAAGAGGTGGATCTGAAGGGTTGTGTGTGGTTATCTCCATTGTGCAGGAGGCACGAATGTGAGGTCACCCCTGTATGTATGGATCTGTTAAATCAGCATGTTCAGTAAAGCATACGGCCAGCCCAGAGCAAATGACAGCACAAGAAGATTCCTTATGTAGTGCTGTACCTCAATGTGTGCCACATCTGTACATTGCTAGGATGCTTAAATGCTTAAGTTTTCCACAAGCATTTTTCAACGTTTAAAGCGCGAGGCAGAACATTGCGCCTCTAAGACCAAAGTTCAGATCTGCAGTGGTTCTTAAACACTTGATCCATGTTGATCAACAGCTTGTTGATCTGTGCGATTGGGTGGGAGAAGTTGTATGGCAGAATGCTGGAGACACGTGGAAATTGTGGAAAGGTTCATCAGTGGGAAATTTCACCCTTGTATAACTGTAGGCACCCACTGGTGAGCACCAAGAGCTCACTGAATGCCTTTTCCCTTGCACTTAACTGTGGCAGTTCTTGGACAAGAGCTGTCAGATGCTTTATTAAAATTTATTAATCAAAATCATCTGTGTATGCAGCATTCTGGGCCTTTTGCAAGGCTGGTTAACGCCTGTATGTGGATAAATTTGTTTTAAATTGAGTCATTAGTGCCATTTTTGTTCTTTCAAAGAATTCTACCTGTGTCAAGCCAGAGGTGATTCCAAGGACCTTCCAACTAAACATGTGATGATATCTGACATGATTACTGTAACAGATGAGATTTTTCGTTAGAGAGTGGCATTCGAGTACCACATTCTTGTGCTATGCTCTGTTTAGCTTCAGACAGGAAGAAAAAATTCTAATTATTTAATTTATAGAAACTACAGAAAGTGACAATTGGTTTTTTTACTTCTTCCATGCAGTGCTGTCTGTGCAGAGCCATTTGTACCCTTGGGAAGCATCAGTGCAAGAAAACAAGGTAGGAAATTGTGTGCAGAGCTTCTGCTGCCATTCTGATTGGTAACAAACTTTCATTTGTGATTATTACAGTAAAACTTTAAAAGAGCTTTGCTTATTGTGCTTTGTATATATAAACTGTGGCTGAATAACTAAGCTTTGAGCAAAAGCTAATCAATGACAGCTCATCCTCTTATTGTATATAAATTTAAGAGCAGTTGTGCAAATCAGTGTCACTAAATGTTCTCTATAACAATTATATAATATAAACAGGATGATAAAACCATTTTCTTTGCTTCTCGTAACAGCTGTATTGATTTCTGCACAGAAAATTCTGCAGAGATCAGTTTATCACAACTATAAGTTGTTGGATAACAGATGAAAACAGCGTTTATGTGGTCAAATCATTGTCTACTTAACCAAAATGATTTTTGAAAATCATCTTGTTACAGCATGTAGTTGAGTAAATGAAATTTCTGTTGTTGTTTACAAACATGCTTTCCTAACAAACACAAATATGTGGCCTAGTGGATCAAAAATTGCTCCCAAAATAATGTGATTTCACCTGGAACTGAATTCCCAGAAAGCCCAGCCTGTGTCAGGTATCTTGTTTCAGTAAAATCTGCATGTATTTCAAAAGCAAAATAGAAGGAATACAGAGTGGAATTATGAATGGGCAAGCTGTGAAGAAGGCAGTTACATAGATATTTTATTGTACTGTAGACATACATGCAGTTTCTTTTAAGCACTGAGATTTCTGAAATAACAGATGCAGAACAGGAACATTGGTATTTGCTTACCATTCACTGAAAGCACAGATAATGTTCATTCACTGCAAGGAAGAACCTATGCACTCTGCCCATTTTTTTCTAAATGCCAACATTGAATAGGCATTATTGGTTTGATAAATATGAATAGAGTCAGTAGTTTAACTCAGCTGAAAGTCCTCAAAACCACGTTTCTTGTGTACTATGGTAGCACTATTTCCTAAAAGGAGCCATAAACACAGCACTGTAACACTTAATGTTGTGTTTTACTATTTATGTGGCAAGATTTGCTCAGGTCCCTCAGGTAGAACTTCCTGAAGAGCAAAGCCTGAAAGAATAGGAAATCTGCGCAGAAAGTATTGGTTTCAATCTTTAGTTTTATGAACAGAAATACACATTGTAACAACAAATTTTTTTTGGTGTTGCCTGTTACACAGTCTTGCACACATAAATAAATATCACAGCATAAAGCTAATTTGAGGTGGGTACATGGATTGATCACTTAATAACCCAGTTTTCTTCTCATCTTTTACTGCATTAATATTACAGAATCTCCAGCTCCTACCATCTGACTGTTGGCAAGTGAACAGATGGCAAATTTTATCCACTATACCTCAGAAAACAGAGTGCATGCCTGTTAGCAGTTGGGAAATCAGCCAAGTAATGTAGCATCGGCTCTCCTCATCACAAAGCCTCCAGGGATTAGAGGACTTTGTGATGAGTTACATCAGGTTGCCAAGAGTCTTGTCCATACAAGTTTTGAAAATGTCCAAAAATGGATACACCACAGCTTTGCTGAGTATCCTGTTCTTTATCCACCCGAATTCTGAGAGGTTTTTCATTCCTTTTAGGTGCTGAGAATCTCCTGTTAAATAATGTTTTATTGTAACATTCTCAGAAGACATAACTTTATATTTAAGACATACATAGATTTTAGACTTAATGGATGCAACAAGTCAGTATTGATAATTTTGCCATCCTTCTTTTTCTAAAAATGGTAATGACAATAATAATAATAATAACTCTGTGGAACTAATACTATTTTATGTTGTTGCTGGGTCTATGTTTTTTATTTTATACTTTATTTTTCACTGTTTTTAGTCTTTCTTCTAAGCAGTGCACAGGAGATTTTGTTCATATTGAATGCCTTTACGGAAAATAAGGGAAAACAAAAGATGGCTTAACACTTTTACATCAACTGCTAAAATGAAGGATGAAAACCACCCAAATTGACTTGTATAAATTACATAAAACTGCTAAGTAGTAATATCCTGAGATCAGTGTTGGGAACTCTTGCAATACTTGTTTCAAATACATCAGCAATCACTAAATCAATTGATTTGGACATATTTAGATGGCTGAAACACTAAGAAGATGTCAACATACAGCAGTAATCTGCTATTCCTTTCCCTTGTGACAGCTGGAGTCTCACAGTTCTCAATGGAGAGCCTTGGAGAACTCATATTGATACTGTTTCACTGTGTCTTTTTCCCTCTCTGTGACAGAATAATAAAGTATACAAGATTTCTAGGCACAGAAAATATAAGAACTAATTGGTAAGTAAATGAAAGTGTGTCAGTATATGAAGACAGCATTAACTTCATCTGCTATACTCGGGCATAGTCATTTTACAAAGGGAAAAAGTTTGTCTTTTGTAATAAAAATAACTTCATCCATCTAGAGAAACCCCAGTTTTGTTTCTCCGGATAATTTAAACTAGATATATTGTCCAAAATCTAGTGCAATGGCTGGATTTATTCCTCTATATAGGATGCCACCTCTGTTTCTGAATAAATAGATATTCTACTTTTCTCATTATTCTCCAGGACAAGCTTCACTTCGACTGTGAATAAGTTTTCAGATAAATCTGGATTAAAAAATGGCATTCCTGCAGACTGTACTTCATTCAAAGCCAAGACTCAAAAATCTTCATAGCTTTCATGTGTTTTCAAAAGAACAAATGCTGCATAAATACCACATGGTAAGAAATAACACTGTATCTGTACAATCTTACTGTGACAGGTAATTTTCAAGGGAATCATAGAATCACAGAATGGCCTGGATTGAAAAGGATCACAATGATCATCTGGATTCAACCCCCTGCTGTGTGCAGGTCACCAATCAGCAGCCCAGGCTGCCCAGAGCCACATCCAGCCAGGCCTTGAATGCCTGCAGGGATGGGGCATCCACAGCCTCCTTGGGCAACCTGTTCCAGTGCCTCACCACCCTCTGTGTGAAAAACTTCCTCCGAATATCCAACCTAAACCCCCCCTGTCTCAGTGTAAAACCATTCCCCCTTGTCCTATCACTATCCACCCTCATAAATAGTGGTTTTCCTCCTGTTTATATGCCCCTTTCAAATATTGGAAGTCCACAATGAGGCCTCCCTGCAGCCTTCTCCAAGCTGAACAAGCCCATTTCCCTCAACCTTTCTTCACAAGAGAGGTGTTCCAGCCCTCTGATCATCTAAGGGAATTCAAAGCATCATTTCCTTTACCTGCTGTATGTTAACTGTGTCTAGGAGATTTCTTATTTAGAACCTGCATTTTTGCATGAAATTTCTAAGCCAAAAGGCTTGGTCTCTCTGATTAGTATTGATCACATGTATGTCATACCAACTGAGATTTGAATTATAAATTACTTCAATATCTTTAAGTTGTAACATGAAATAATCTGACTTAATTTTTTATGAGGACTTTATTTGATAGTATTTCTGGAAATCATAGATTTTTTTCTTCAGTGATGAGCTGTGAAGATGAAAAAGCCACTAGCTATATAAGAAAATTGCTTGATATGAAAATGAACTTGTTTCAGTGGATAAATTGCCTTTGAGTGGGGAAAAAAGAAATAATATTCTAATCTGGATAAGTGTATTTTTATTCACTTGACAGGAATTTTTTACTTACCCATTGTGAAAGCATATGTGAATATCTATTAATCCAAAGCCAAATAATTTAACTTGATAACATTAAATTAACTCCTTGCCCAAAGAGGCTGTGGATGCCCCATCCCTGCAGGCATTCAAGGCCAGGCTGGATGTGGCTCTGGGCAGCCTGGTCTGCTGGTTGGCAACCCTGCACACATCAGGGGGTTGAAAGTGGATGAGCATTGTGGTCCTCTTCAACCCAGGCCATTCTGTGATTCTATGATTCTATGATAAAAATGTCAGTTATTTTCATATTCACTTGGATGTTTTAACAGTTTTCCAGCAAAACTCTCAAAATGATGATGATAGAATTGTACAAATAAAAATTTATGGGTGGCTTTTTTTGGCAAATTACTGAGTGGTTTTGAAGGGATGGGATGCTGAAAGGTTGCATGTTCACTTATTTATTATCAGCTGAAGTTTGCTTCTTAAATGACTAAGAGAAGAACAGAAGGATGTTGCAGTTATAACACCTGTTCTTTACTAAAAATTCCAAATGTCACTTAATATAAACTCAAATCAAAAGAGTTTCTTCTCACAGAAGTCTCACGTCAGACATTGCTGTCCTAGACTATTGCTTTTGGTTAAATGAAAGATTTCTCTTAACAACAGGAAGTACAAAATCTTTACTATCACCTACTTTTTACAATGTTTATTTATGAGATATCCTAAAATGTTCACGATCTTACTTGAGGCTGAAAATATGTGATTCCTTACTTGGTAATGCATTACACCATTTGGAGGGTCAGACAGAAGTAACAAGCACCGAGGTTAACTGAAAAGTAAGAATTGTGGTTCAGGTACCTGTTTGTTGAATGTTCCCCAGAAAGCTTGGAAATGCAGTCCATGAGACTTATTCATGAAAATATACTGAGCGTAGCAACAGTGACAGTCCTAACATGTCTTACTTACCTGAAGGCTTGTAAGCTCTCACAGATGGAAGGGACTGATGGGCATACCAAAACTAGGCATTTGTTATTTCTCATTGTATAACATGCATAATTTTGCCAAGATGTCTTAAAAAGTCTGTAAGCAAAAGCCAACTGAAAAAAGAAAAGTGCTAGTTAAACAACATAATAAATTGTCAGTTAGGTCATTCTCAATGAAAAGGAGAAGGATACAACCTGATCTCCCATATTTCTATGTTATTATCTAGTTCTAACAACAGGAAATGAAGAACAGGCAAGCCAGAGGCAAGGCAGGGTGGGGGAGCAGAAAAAAAATATTTCCTTACAAGGAAGAAGGTCGCCATATCAGTTGTTCCTTTGACAGAAAAAGCAAGAAAAACACAGCTAGAAAACTGGATTTCAACATAGATGATTTGCTACATCAGTCATTCCAACAGATTGAGGCACTGGTGCATCAAAGGAGGAATCCTGTCATTAGCTATAGTACTGTTGGTACAAGTAGCACATTTTTATATATTTATTTTCTTATTTCTTCTGTTATTGCAAATCTACGCTGCTTGATGCAAATGTGCTCTTTTTCTCCTTTACTCTTAATCATGATATTGATCCAGGGCTCATCTTGCACACAGTGTGTGTGCACAGTCAGGGTGCTCCGTGGGCTGCAAGAACCTTTATTCAGAGGTGAACTTTGGCAAACTTCTCCCTAGTGTGTCAGAAGACACTGCAAGGGCATACTCAAGACCAGGTAGGCTGCTAATTTTGGATGGGATCTCTACTGTGATCTCTCGTTACAGAAGAACATGGCCTTTATTTATTTTTTTTCCATTTCAGTGTTGAGACCAAATAGTCATATGAGAAGAAGCCTTTGAGAAGGATTTTTAAAGCCTATCTGATTTCAGGATTTATAATATTTAAATTTCCAGTGATGGTAAATGTGCTTATCAATCCAATTTTACTGTTTCATATTCCTAATATAGATGTACATTATGCTGTGATTCTCACATAGTAAGTGTGTGTATGTGAATAAAAGTGGCAAGTTATCAGGTATTTCGCAAGTGAGGCACTCAGAGGTTAGGTTTCAACCTATAATATTGAAATGCAGTACTCCAATTAAAATATATATATATCTGCCTTTAACTTCTTTATCTTTTAGTTCTACTCAACTGAGAAGGAGAACTGAGCAGCCCAGGCCTGATTTTGAAAGCAAAGTCTGCCTTTTAACTTTCACTCTTCTATTCATACTTCCCTATCCTACGCTACTCACCAAGAATGATGGCTATTTTCCAAAGTCCTGCACAGCCAACATCCCACTGCCAGATTCATGTAAGTAATGATAATGATGTAGTGAAATCTAAACTTCATTTATTTTGGTAATTTTAATAATGATAGTTCATAATGTTGTAGATGTCAAGTTTGGCACTTAGATTGTGCTAAATCCAAAGCTTTAAATTCAGTGCTGTAATTTAACTCTGCCAAAAGTGAAGGCAGGGCAGGTGGATTGAGTGTCATGATTTGAAAATTTGTACAATGCTTTTGAGTGCCTGAGCACCTTCGGATAGTGCTGAGTTCAGCTTCTGAAACTCTTCCCTGTTTTTGACATCTGAGAACTAAACTAAAATCAAACTAGAATTCACTGGTTTTCTTTTTTTTTATGAGGTTATGAAATGAGTAAATTTTGTTGTGATAGAATATAGACGTTGTAACAAATCCAGTTGCAGATAGACACTATTGTATAGAATGGCTTTGCTGTTGAAGCCAAGAATAGTCAATAAGATTAAAAACTGATAAAGTTGTCACGCTCCAGATAAAAGACCAGCTTTGCTTTGTCTTTTGCTCCCCAAAAGCTTGCAGAGTTTATTGTATCTCTGCAGATATTGTTAGCACAACCTTCACCTTTCATCAAACTGTTCTATGACCTCATCCAGAGATCTGTAGCTGCAGTGTGATTAAGTCACGTGCCAGTGTAATGTGACTGAAGGAAGAATCCTGTTTCCTTGTCCTGTGGTTGGGAGAGGAAGCATTTCACTGTACAAGAACTGTCAGACATCCTAAACTGAGCTACGCAGGTCACACTGAAAGTAGTGTCTCCTATTTATTTCCATGGAAACTACAATAGATGCAAAGAGCACAATAACACTGCTCGATGGAGCAAATTCTCAGTTACAAAACACTATTTTTCAACTATTTTTCAAGAAGCATGTCAATGGCTGCAATTTTTTTCCATGTGAAGGAGTTCATTTCCACCTTTTTGCTTCGTCCACACTTCCATGTCAGGTGCCATTCTGTCAGACTGCTCCTCTGCTGCCATGTGTCACAGCAACAAAATGTAACAGAATATTTGTGGGAATGAGTAAGTACTGCCGTTCCACCAACATCCGCCTCTGATGTCAGGGACCAACACAGTAAAATAAGAGGCAATACTTTTTGAGCATCCCTCATACAGTAGCTGAAACTCCATAGTGCTGACTTTTTTTAAAAGTGTACAGGGACTGGAGTAGTGATCGCATACAGAAGTGATTGTGGCAATGTAACTGCAGGCCAAACTCCATAGGAAAGCTTCACTTCTGATTTTGGTAAGGACAGTGAATGATAGGCAGGAGAATGCTGAAGTATGGTAGGCAAAAAGTGCAGAGAAATAGAAATAACAGTTTTTCAGGAGGAGCTGAGATTTGAGCTGTTCCTTGTTATCACCTTAACAGAATATTGAAAGACCCCGCACACAAAAGAATAAATCCTGTGGCAATGATTTTTAGTTACACTGTCAGTCCAAATGTGTATCTCAGAGCTGTACAGTACCAAAATGCAGCAGTGATATGATCAGATACAGTGCCTGCAGAATTGAACTCTGCTCTATGGAAAATCATAGAATCTAGTCAATGGAGGCTAGGGAGGAGATTAGGCAGCAGATTCAATGTAAATATCCAAAGAAGTTAATCCTGTGTCACCAGACTGAAATAATTTGCCACATAGATTTATCAAAAGAAGATCTTGTCATACCAGTTGCTGTCTTTCTTAACTAGCTCCACTGACCAAAAGAATTCAACAGAACTAATTTAAGAAGATTTAGACAGTGCATTTGATACAGTGTCTAGTGGCAAATCACTATTTTTGAAATATTAAGTTCAGTTATTCTTTAAAAAAATTGAATTATTTTAAAATCATTGTATTAAAATAGCGAAAGAATATGTGTAAGTATCACATGGCTAAAGATGAGATTGTAACAGGTTATCCTCAAAGAAAAATTCTGAATATGGAAAAGGAATCCATCACATGGATTCCTGTTCTTCATGTACTGCTGTTGATGTCTAATATGTTTTGTATTTAAAAATAAGTAGAGCAGAAATCCGAGATCAACCTGAGTTCTTACGAAATGTGCAGATAAAACAACACAGGACAGTATGACCAACAGCACTAATGGCTACTTTATCATTCAGGAAGCATCAGACAGTGTTGTGGTCTGGATAGATTGATGTCCTTTTAATCAGCAATCCTTAAACTGAACAGTCTCATTATTAAGTGTACCAGTGTAAACCACAGTACTCATCATTGATCCCAGTGATTGCTATAAGAAAATATAGTATCCCAAAAGACAGAATCTCCCAGATCTATGCTTCAGTGGTCCCAAAGAGACCAAATAAAGGCACACAGCAGCCTCTGCTTTCCCTCATTAACCACTGGAATCAGTCCACTGTCATAGAAGGAAGTCAGCTGTCATGTTCCTACTTTATTATGTGCCTTCAGCTCATCAAACCACGTCACCAGGGCCAGAGGTAGCACAAGGAAATCACCTGCTCTGTTCCCTTCCTTTGTTGCTCTCAGCAGAGTGGGTCCTTGTTTATTACACTTCTAAAAATCAGTGCCGCTTCCTTTTCCTTGCCCTTCTTTATGATACAGATAAAAAGCTTTCCATACAAAGATAAAATAAGAAAGAACCGAGCTTTTTTGGCAACATCTGATTCAAGTTTGTTTTTTTTTTTTTGACAATTCTAGCTGTATTGTAGCCTTCCTGACTGTTTAGCAGATGGCTGTATAGCCTCCTGCATCCTACTTAGGAAGCAGTAACGGCAGCCTGGAATAAACTGGAATAATTATTAATTATTTGTAGGAAATACTAGGAAACACAAACTCTTCTTCTACTATATATTCCACAGCCCTAATCACCAGCGTCCAGTAATCAACCTATTTATAGATTTAGCCTTACTTCATAAGTTGGATTTTCTCATGAAACCATTAACCCCCTGAGCAGTCAGCATACGTGACTTCTTATGGATAAGAATTGTATTGTAAGTTGTTGTACATATTTTAAGCTGTCCCTTATCAGAAGTGAGTAAAAGCTTTTTAATAATAACATAAAAAGTTACAACATATCAACTCTCTTTTCCAGATATTTTTTTTAGGTGAAAGGTTGTTCTTGGCATATGAGAAAGGAATTAACAGCCTCTGCTAGTTGTGCTTCAATTTTTTTTTTTTTTTTTTAACAGCAGCAAACCATATGTACTTTTTCCTGTTGTTACTTTAACAAAGAAACGCTCTGTTAAATATTAAACACATACATGAATGAAGCACTTGCATGCTGTGCTGCTGGAGACTGTAGAAATCAGTGTGATGATCTAATCTACTTGAATGACAAATCTCCTGACTTGCAGATTTTAAGACTTCAGTGTAGTAATTCTGAACTAGAGACACGCATCAAAAGCCCTGTTGTCCTACACTTTATACAAAATCCTAGTCCTGTAGATGAATTAACTGCAGAGGTGCAGGGTCCATCTGAATTCCATAGCTGGATTAGGAGCCTCTCACATTCAAACGTTTCAGTATTGACATCTCAGTTTAAAAGTCACTTAAAATACCAAACTTAGTATTCTTCCTCTAGGTTGAAACCTCTGAAGCAGTACTGTCACAGACAGATGTCCTGTCTTCCTCTCCACATTGCATTTGTTTAACTCTCATTCACCTTCGTGTAATACCAAGTTATGCTCTGGTTAGATACGTATGTATTTTGCCCGAATACACATTTATTTCTCCTGCAACTCTGAGAATTAGTCAATCACTATAGTTTCAATGTTTTTTTTTTAATATTTGCTCTCCTCTAAAATACACAAACTAAATCTGCACTGGATTTAAATTAGACACTGAGTTGTTCTAAAAACGTTTTCCCTGTTAAGTGGGAAGCAACTAGTAATGGTAGAACAGCCAGTCCCCACTGTAAATACTAAGGACTGACAAATGTGGCAGACATCTTCTTATCCTCTGAACTGAACTAATTTTTTTATTTGCTTGTACTTTCTCATAGAATAATTGGAGTCAGTGTGAAAACACAGCCTTTTGGCAAAGAACTCATAAGCTGGCAAACAGCTTCAGGAGACAGTGGACTCTAATTAGAATCAAGGAGTTGGCCACATGTAAGTAGCATGTAATTGGCCATGTAATACACAGTCTGTAGTTTATCCACTTTCACTTTATGAGAAGAGATGTGATAGGAGCACTTGCCCTTATGGCAACTAGCAGATCTTATTCTGGTGTCACATACACGCCATAACTGTAGCGTTGGCTTTGTTTAATTTGCAATGAAGTTTAGTCCCTATAGAGTCTGTGGGGCCTTTGAAACTGATAACTGCTATCAGAGTTTTAAAAGTTCCTTACACTATCCTGAACTTCACGTCAACACTATGTGTGTATCTCTGCCATTAAAATAATCAAATCTGAAGATGGTGATACTTCTCTTGAGAACAAGAAAAGTATTTAAAATAACCTGAGTCCTAACTTTATAGAACATGATCATTTTGCCCATAAACACATCAGATTTACCTGCTTTGGGTGTATACAGTTTAGAGAACTACTGTTTTAAATTGAAACAGTCTTCAAGGTAGAGCTGTCCAGAAGTAGAAAAAAAGGTTCCTTGGCACTTAGATAGTAAAGGTGGTAGGCACTGAAGCTTCCTGTCACCTGGATCCCTGAACTCTAGCTGACGTTTGCCAACATAGATATCATCTGATAGAACTAACATCAGCTGATTTCCAATTTCATTATAACAAGGCAGTCTGTAAGAGCAGACGTATTTCTTGCCTAATACCCTCAGTCAGCAGCTTGTACCTGAGGTAATAGTTATGCAGGAAGAAAAACACTGAGCAGATGGGTATGTTTACTGGGGAGCAAAACTGTGTGCAGAAGCAGAACTTACAATATTTCTGGGAATTAGTGTAGTCAGGAAAGGATAAAAGCATATTATAATTAATAACTGCATCCATCAGCTTAATTACAAATTAGGTTGTGAGGCTGTGACTGGGAAACTAAATTTTTTCCATTTTTATCTTTCATAATTAATGCTATTGAACTGTATATAAATGCATTTTTTTATTTATGAGATACTTCTGAAAACATTTCTATGAAGCATTCCAATGAATTTTTGCTACAGCATTACAATCTCTGCAGTTCCTCAAGATGAGCTAAATAAATCTTCTCTTCTAGGCAACGTCTTTTGTTCTGTGAATCCTGGGTCTGGTCAGCTCCAGGTTGCTAAAGTCCTCCATTACAGATAGATCTTTACCATAAGGAAATAACTTCTCTTTCGATCATCTGCTGCAAAATTAACACACAGCAAATCTTCTCTTTGTTGGACACACACTTTGATTACACACTGCACTAACTTTATGATTTCATAAACTAATGAACTAAGCCAATATAAGTGGTAACACACTGATCTAATCTCAGTTGCCATTTTGGTTTGATTATAACATTCAGTAGTTGAGCCTATGTAGTGTGCTTCTGTGATGTTAATATTTACCTTTGTATTTAAAATAATAAAATCAGAAAAAGCACACAGAACTAGATTATGCCTTCATATTTAATAGCCCTTTACAGATCCCTCATGTAACACAAATGAGGGCTTTAAAAACATATGCCTTTATTAGAAAAAATCACCCCAGAAAAGGATGAATTCAAACTTATCTGCTTGCGTGATCAGAGAACAGGTAAGTGTATCTCCTGCATATTCTACAGGAGAAGAATAAAAGAGCTGGACTTGGGTAGCCTAGCAAATTGGAGGGTGATAAAGACACAGCTTTTCTTCATAGATGTCACAAGTACTATGGAGGCAGGAGAGCTGATGAGGCCATGCTGTCAGCTGTCAAAGGCTGACTGTGGCTGAAGATAAAGGAGCATATTCATTACAGACTAAGGCTCTAATCAAAGTTTATAGTAGGTCAAGTCCAAAAAATCTGAAAAGTGGGACTACTCTACAACTGAGATGCAAATTTCTATGTCTGGTATTTCTGAATTTATTAGCAATACAGTTTTTTTTCGCTATTGATTGTTAGTGTTGTGCACCTGGTGCAGCCATAAATCCCTGGAGATATCAGATAAATTGTCGTGCTTTTATATTAACTTGATTCAAAAATTTTAGAAGGCTTGCTCTGTCACCAAGCAAGATTAAAAATTGTTTCTTTTCCCTAGAAGCAGATCAAAGGCTTTTTGAAAGAAAGGGATTATTTCCTGAATGCTTCAAGTGCATAGCAACGTGATGTAATTCGTAACATAAATGCAATTCCTGGATGTTCCTCTTCTCCAGAAGCTTGACAGGATGTGCAGCTACTATGAATGGAGTAAGTCCTCTTACAAAGATACAGTGTTTTGACTAACCAGTGAATAAGACTTTTTAAGGGCATGACTGATAATAAGTCTTAAAGTAAAATATTTTTACATGTTTTCCACAAGTGCCAGATATGCTGTTACCTCTAAGAATTTCTACTTGTTTTGGGCCAAGGCTAGCAGGCACAGAGCAGCCATGAAGCATGACAAAAAACAGAATGTAGTAATTGCAGGCAGTCTGCTATCTGATCATCCAGTCATCAGCTGAGAACTGCGTGACCCTGACAGTTCCATATCGTTCAGTCTATGGACGTGCTTTGAGAGGTAGTGCCTCTGGACACTACAGTTTGAGATAGATTCTTTGGCCCAGTCTCTACAAAGAAAGAATTTTCATGCAGGATCCTCCATTAATTCTACCTCTGCCATACAACCTGATTTATTTTTAAGAGTTTTTCATCCAGCTTTTTGTTTCATGAGCAATCTTGTGTATACTGTTTCCTCAATGAATGCTGTAGAACTTCTGGCAGCTTTATTACTTTAGATCCATTAGAGGGATTTTTATTAGTTCTTAAGACTTCTTTTTTGGGGCAAGTTAATTCTAAAACCAGAGCTTGTGCTCTTTCTGTTTCTGTGGTTTGAACATTATTTTTGAAGGATGTTTGTTCATTTTGACAAGGCTCCATTTCCTGTTTAGCCATACACTTTCTTGTGATTTGATCCTTCTGAAAGCATGTTAGACAAGGCTGTACCTTCAAACTTCAGGTAGGAGTTCTTTAAATTCTCCCTGCACAGTCTCAATTAAATTTCCTTTTCTCAAGCCTCCTCATTTGTCTGCAGCTATGTATTAACATAGTAGTTCTGTTTATTCCTCCTATGGCCTTTACTGTAAATCTATTCATTGTTATGGATCTTGTAGAGTGACCTAATGTATATCAGAATTGGCTTGTCATGCTGTGGCTCTCTGACCACTTGAAGAACAAGGCACTTACTCTGTTGTGTCCTTGAAAGGCATTCACTCAGTATGTCAGGCAGTTTGAATTTTTCAGTCTCTCACATCTGTTTTCAGTTTATGATCTCTATTCAAGTTTTATGACTGATGTCACTTCAGCTACCTTCCCTTCAAGCACAGTATTCCAATTCATAGGATTTCATTGCTGATATATTTAAAATTTTTCTAAAAAGTCAGATTTTATAACACAGAACTGGAGTTTGAAATACGTGGCGTTGACTCATACTCATCTTACACCTTCATCAGGTTTGTTATGTCCTCTGATTGCCTTTCCTTCACTGCAAGGTCAGGTTTGTCCCTAGGTTTCGGTGCTTTTTATGAAGACCTGTTCTCTGCTGCATTAGGATTGGTGAATGTGCCCTTTCCTGGGAGGCACTTATGAGTAACTCTTTTGCTAATGCAAGCAGACTGTCTAGTGGCCGGTGGTTGTTTTTTAGACCCTGATAAACAGAACTGCCTCAACATGAGGCAACTGAGAGAACTATTTTTGGCCTTCAGTAACAATACTCTGTCTCTGTACACTAACACCTAGTCCTAGTTCTGTGCTGTTAGATCTAGGCCAGTACAATACTTGGGGGGAATGTGCCAGATTTCCCAGACCACTACAGAACCAGGGTGTTGAGGAATTTCATGGCTATGCCTTCACAGTTACCTTCCTCCTTTTGGCTCAGCTCTCTGTAATCCCAGGCTCTGTTTTGCATGGCACAGCAGTGTAATCTGGACTCAGGCGCATGAGAAAATCACCGTGTTTTGAATATGAAAGCTCAGCTAGAGCTGGGCAAGATAAGAAAAGCAAAAGCAGAGGCAGAATTGTTGAAATGGCTGAAGTCAGCAGCTCAGTGTTGTAGGAGGAAAATCACTTACCTGGAAAGGTGTGGAGCCCTGAAGAAAAAATCAAGGGTGATAACTCAGCAAATCTCAGGGTGTGCCTCTGCTAGGGAACAAGGGAAGCCCACAGTCCCCCTGCCCTTCCCTGCCTGCTTCCTTTGTCTAAGAACTTGTTAGTCCCAGGCTGTCGTCTTTGTGCATAAGGCAACAAATAATTGCTTTGTACCTTGAAGGTGTATATATGGTGCTTGTCTGTGTGTGGTAAAAGTTGTCCAAGCCAAGTGACACAGAAAGAGGAGGATACCACCAGTGTGCCAAAAGCACCAGCGTGGAAGGGCTGCCTGATGATATTTCTCTGAATGACAGATAGTTCATATTCAACATGAAAGCAAAAAAGAAAACTTTGTGACATAAAGATGCTTTGTGACATAAAGATAATTTGTCTCTCAATGGAAAAAAGCAAAAGCTGTTCACTTACATTAAATGTTTAAGGGAAAAAAAAGGGAAAGCAAAAACACCACTTTGTCACCATTCACGTCTATGTACATCTGAATATCAAGCTTTATGGCTTACCACTTAACCAAGGCCGTTGTGCCAGCAAGTTACCCTCTCCTCATAGTTGTCAGCACAAGATATGGAAGCACAGTATAGGAATGCTACTGATGGTCAGCAGCCACAAGGTTAAACTGATAGCAGCCATTCTGAGGTGTAATTGGTGGCTACAAGCTTGCTTTATTTATAAAGCTCCTTAACTTACTGGTGTAGCTGTGAAAAGTTTGCCACATCTATCCACAAGCCAAAGGGAAATAGGGATTGATGTTTCATGACAGACAGAAGCTGAATCATTGCCTAAAGCAACATAAATCACAGCTCTATAATCTCTCAGTAAATTAGTTCTACCTTTTCATTGCATGAGGAAATAGGCTTAGAGACACGGAATCTAAAATAAAGGCACTGGCACAACCATATCATTTCTTTAACATAGGAGGAAATAAAATTCAAGAACTACTAGCAGCTGTAATTTAATCATTTTTCCTTCACTTTTATCCGTAATTTAGATTTAAGAAATTTTTAAATGAGTGTGTTACCTGATGTATTCACTGCTAACACCAGCAATCTTCAGAAATAATGTGGGAAACTTACGTCCCTGGGAAGACCTGGATGTGTTCTACAGTGATTGAAATCATGCTATAGTTAATACTATTGGTTTGAAATAGCTTGTTTTAGAACTTAACTTTCAGAAAATACATTAAAAATATGTATATGTATTGACTTGGAATATTTTATCCTCAAAACTAGTGAACTGTTCTTGCTGCTTGAAAACCTTCCACTATTCTGTTTGTTACCTTGCCTTGACCATTGCTGATGTGGACCCTGCCTAATCTCTCTTGCTTTGATTCTTCTCTCAGTTTGTCTCTACTCTGTTCCTCCTCTCTTGTTTTGTCTTCTCTGAATCCAGGTCTTTGAGCTGCTGACTACTTGGCCAGCTCTGCTGGTCCCCCCAGCCACCACCATCATAACAATGTCATCTACGGCTCCTGCAGGGTCTGTCATATCCCACCACTTTCCCAAGACAACCTAACAGCTTGCTTCCCTTTCCTCAGCCTTCACTCCTCCTTCTTCCACATCCATTCAGTCCTAGCAGGAGGATCAGTGCAAGCTCTGAGAAAACAAGCACTGTGCTGGGGCCAGCACAGCTTTGCTGTGGAGTGTCTGACTCTACTTGTACCCGTGAGCTGAGTCATGGCTCTCTCATATGCAGCTTTATAAAAGATAAGAAACTTTAATTCTGTCAAACATGCACAAACCATACAAGAAGTACTGACATTTTAGCAAATAAGATGAAAGTCTGCATGAATCATATGCAATTATATGATTATAAATTACAATTTATCAAGGCTTTCTAGCTTTCATGAGAACATCGAGAGGTCTGGCCCTGCTACAAGACTGTTACAACAATGCTGTATTTGAATCATTTTCCGAAACCCTTGGAGATGAGAGTTAAAAACCAAGATCTTATTCTTAAACTTGATCCTTAGAGAAGGCTGTGCCTTTTGATCAATGTTTCTTGCTAAAATGCAGCTGTGAGGTTAGCATTCAGGCTAGAAAACTTGAGGCCAAACACTTATAAATTGGCAAAGTTACAAATGACTGAAATCCAGCTCTGATGACAGGAAGCGTCAAGCAACGTGAATAACCGGTGTTATGAGATGCACTTGTAATCAGCTTCCTAATGTTTCTGGTATCAGTACATTACCTTTGCAGCTCTGAGGCCGTTTTTCAAGCAAAGTTATAAAAAGAATCTGTTTTCCTAGGTTATATTTATGCATTGTAATCATGGCTGTTTAGAGCATTATACGTTCACTTGGTGAAAGGACATTAAATGAGCTTCACAAATATTTAATCAAGCTGCAGAATGACTTAAGTTTACTTCTCTCTTTCTGTAGAGAGCTAATAGCCATGCCTGGTGGTTGCTGTAGTTACCACTTACTGGAAAAGCAACTAGGCTGTTCTTCCTTTTGGGTCTGAGATTTCCTTCATGAAGCTTTGTGTCAACTAAAACACTAAATACTGCTTTCTAGAGAGTAAATCTACTCCATTCAGGCCATTTCACTGACAGGTATTTTGCAAAGCTGTTTTGATTTGGTTTGGTGTTTTTTCCTAATGTTATCACAGAGTGCTGAAGTAACTCCATAAAGTTAACATTTATTATTGTAGGTAAAACTGAAATGAAAGCTTGCAGACTTTGTGTAATGGGAGATGTGTTTTTCCCTTGTATTTTGTTTAGTGAATTCTGTTAGAGGTGGTCGAAAACAAATTGGAAGAAATTTAAGTACTGCCTGTTGTTCCTGAAATAGCTTTCCTGGGTCTTTCCCAGAAATGCTGTGGGTTTTGGTTTTTGTCTGTGTTGGTTTTTTTTAATTTTTTGTTTTGTACTGTTTTATTTCCAGCAATGACCACAGAAGGAGGGACGATTGGTTGTTTTTTAGGTTGTAAGGTATCAAGTTTCTCCCCTTGTTCAGCCTTAATTGAACATTGTTGAATATGGCTCTCTGGTTATTTGCATTAGTGTGACTGAAAACGATCTCTCTTCTCCAACAGCTGGTGGTATTTCAGCAGGGAGGCAGTGTTCCACTGAGCAGCACCAGCCCTGTAACGCTGAAGATGTGCCAGACTTGGGCAATAAAAGGGACCTTGTTCTGCTTCAGCTCCAGCCTTGTCCAGCATCACGCAGTGACACTTGGAGGTCTTCCAAGAACTTGTGTCACAGGCTCTGCTGGAGCAGAGGACAAAGTAAGCTAACTACTACCCAGCTTTGTGCTGTACCAAAGCTGTTCCCATGTGTGCCAGTTTAGAAAGTTACAACTGAATATAAAAACATTTTAAAGCATCTCTATCCAAAGACGTATATGAAATGCAAGCTGCTGGTTTTTTCCACTACGAAATTTAAATGAAGAATACAAACAGCAGATGAAATTTGGTTTAAGAGAGTACCAAGGAAGGAGGAAAAGGTAAGCAGCACCTAATAGATATGAAGTGCTTGTTGAACTGTTTTAAACAGCCACTTTACTTCATTAAGCCTAGCCATATCTGTTCTCATAGATCATTCTAGAAGCTACAGACAGCAACTTCTAAACGAGTCACATGGGGCTGGAGACTCCATTCATTGAACTGTAGCCATGAGACTCCAACTGCAGGGCCATGGCACTACCTGCTGCACAAGTTCTGAAAATAATGAGATAGATGGATATGTAAAGAATATTCATGGGGTAATAGAGGAAATATGATAAAGTTTGGTATGCAACGCCTTCCACACCAGAAATAGTATAGAGCTCCTCAGCCTGGAAAAAACAACAGATGATAGAATAATCTTTAAAAAATCACAGAAAACAGTGAATAAGGAACTATTGTTCACTGTTTCTTCCAGTGCAAGTCCTGCAGATCAAATAGCTCAAATGAAAGTGAGGCACTTTTTCCATGAAACAGTTTGCTACAGGAAACTGTGAATACTGAATGCTTACATCAATTTCAAAAGCCCTGCAACAAATTCATAGAGGAGAAACCTGTTAGGCACTATTAAACACAAGGAAACTGGCTGCAGGTCAGGAAGCCCTGGAGCAGTCTCAGCTGTGTAATCACTGCCACGTCACGTGAGCTGCTCTTACATTCCTTCTTAGCCAGCCCCTATTGCAATATGCTACATCAACACAATACTGTCATAGAAGAGCCTTGGAGTTGGTCAGATGTGGCCATTTCTGTTTCTGGCACAGCAGCTTTGCCTGCACAGCCATAACTGTTCATGGGCCACTTGGCTACTTGTGCTGGTAACACAGCAAGAGCACATCATCACCCTGCTGTTGGGCTCCCCGTATGATAAAAACTAGTTTGCACATGCTTTGAGCCCACTATAGCTAAAGAGATGGAGAGACAAGCTGAATCTAACTGCTATTTATGTTTATTTACAGCAATTTGCTCAAACGTGGACTTTCACCATTAACACGTAACAGCATAAATATGCATATAGTAAATCCCAGTCAAAAAGTAAATTAGCAAGATGCCAGCTACCTTATCTCTCCTCTTCATTTACATCGTGACTTATCGCAGTTGACATTTCAGTAAGCCTGTAGTAGCTGCTCTGAATTTGAACATTCATAAGAAGAAGATGCAATACACTGGCTTTGATGTCAATAGAATGTCAGTCTCTGCCTACTTTGTTCAGTCTGAACTTAATTGCAGGAACTGCATTAATAGTCAACATAAGCCATCTGTTTAAACATGTGTGTTTTGGAAAGAAGTGCCGTGTACAATAAACACACTCACTGTAATGACTCATATATCTGTTTATGTGAAACGAGGATTTGGCAATTTCCCTCACAAAAACATTAAATTACAGGCTAAAAGCAGTTTTATATCAATTTCATTTGTTTACGTGGCAGGTCTGATGGTTTGACAGTTTTGATGCAGTCTGAGAAGTATGTGAGCCATGAGGCTGCTGAACCTCACTGTTTTACCAGCCTTCACTCAAGAACCTGTTTGATAAGTCAGAGCTGCCCCGGGAAATGTCAGCAGTTCATGGAGTTCAGTGGCTGAGAGACACACAGAGGTACATTCACAAAATGTTCTTCAATGCCTTTGGCCAGGGTGCACAGGGAGGAAGGGCACTGCTGTCCAGGTCTGATAGAGTGGTTAACAGCAAAACATCCCAAGTAAGCATGGTGTGACTGGCAGCCTCGCTAGGCAGTGCATGTAACCACTGCAGACCCATGAATGACCTACTTTCATAAGCATTACACTGAAGTTCAATCACTGATTTTGCACGAGGTGAAGCTGTTCCCCTCTCCTTTGCAAACTGAAGCTTCTTCAAACAGGGAAAAATCAGAAATATGCCACCTCTCATTTTATCTATCAGACTACCACAGGAAAGCAGGTTTTAATTTCCCTTTTCTTCCTTGTAAATGCATATAAGGTGTTACTTTTGAGAGTGAAACAACATGCCATTAGATATCTTTTCTGGTGCCATTTCTAAGTAAGCTTTGTTAAATTAATCATGATAATTCACTGGTGCCTCAGTCTCTTCAGCAGCAGAATAAATCATGAATTATCTAGTTTTATACACACTGATGGAGAGTCTGGCTGCCTGCTTCCCACTCGCATGTCCAGAGTAGACTTCTGTTACATTTGTCACTCGTAGACAAACAAAACATACATGGGTGACAGCTTAGAGCAGAGGCTCAGAAACTGCTGGAGAGGAAACATATAGTAAAAGCAAATGGTACATTAGCAACCATTACCTTTTCTCCCCTGAGAAGTTAGTCTGACATTAGTATAGCCCTGCTTTTTTTCTTTTTGTTTTTTCTGGAATGATTTTAAATTCATGAGAGATACAAGAAGCCCTCATTTTGTTTCCTTAATCTTGCTGTTGCCCAGCCTGCTTGGTCCAATGGGCTGTAGTGTTGCATTCAATGAGGTCAGTGATGTTTTAACATCTTAATCTTACTCTAATATCAGCAGTTTCCTCTTTTGTTTTTCCTACTTTATATATCTGAGGGAATTCTACACAGTAGATAATGTTTATATTTCTGTGACTTTGAAGTGGACATGGTCTCAAGAAACCTGCAGGACTTAGTTTTAAGTAAGATTTTCTTATATCTCCTGTTTTGTGGTTTACAGAATGTTTGGTAGCAGAGGCCTGTATTCATTTAACTGTATTTATGTAGCTAGCAGAAATATCCCACCCTAACCTATGTATGAAACCATTGTCCCCTTTGACTGCTTATTGGCTCCTAACAGTGTTTTATTCAAATTCTGTACCCCACCTTATCCTTTCAACAGACAGTCCTCCCATCACACATACTGAATATTTACACCCATCAGAAGTTCCTAGCATGGAGAAACATGCATCCAACCTGCCCCATCTCAGCACTTCAGACGCACTAAGCTCTTAGAGCATCTTGGTGACACATTTATTTGTATTAACAAATTCAGCTCATCACTAGAAACATCTGTGTTCACAGCTTTAAAGATTTTGTATCTGCAAAACACAATCAATCCAAATAGCTTGAGATTTTTGTTGGACAAACAAACATCAACGATCACAAATATACCAAAGAAATGGTGATTTTTTCAGCAGTCATGAAACCTATTCTCTAATTCCTTTATCAGAATGGAAAGGATGGCTGCATATTTGTCATTGTTCAGAGGACTGTATTTAGCCAATGTAACAAAATGCATAAAATTATTTGCCACAGCTTGATTTAGCACTGCACAGAGCCCTCTGCTCATGCTGGTTTCAGCCCTGACTGCTGTCTTGGTGCTGAGCAATGGGTGCATACCAAGAGTCAGGCCAAGCCACTTGGCAGGGAACAGCCACCAAAATGGCACAGAGCAGGGAACACAGGATGCACTGTGCAGGAATGCATGTGGCCCATGGCCCAGAGGTCCAGGACATGTCCAGGTCATCTCCTGAGGTCCCTACCAGCATCAACTATCCTGTGATTATGAAGTTGCCAGAAAGTCATGGACCAATGTCCTAACAAGGGCTGATTTTCATTAGAAATAAGAGTTTAAACTGCTACTAAGTTCTTACCAAGAAAAAGTGAACTATGAGTAGTATCCAGTCTTGAAACAGTATTTATTTACAACAAAGAACAATGAGTGGAAATACAAATAAGTGAAGCAGATTAGCTCCGTGTTGATAATCCTAGCTCCACATCTTGTTTTTAAACTTTATCAGTTTCTCCTCTAGTAACTTCTCTCAGATTGTGCTGGATTTTGACCTTTAAAAGGTCCCACAAATCAAGTATCTCTTTTTTTTTCTGTTTACATTTGTGCAGTTCCCAAGTTTTCTGCCATCTGGCTGTTCTGTGTTAACGTCCTGTCTTCTGGACTCAGGTGGTAACCTGCTAGCATGCCAGATCATTCACTACCATCTGGGGCATGCTATTGCCCAGTAACTTCCATCCAGTCCCATTCCTAAGGCAACCTTAGCACATTCATTCCTACAGGTATTTTTAAAGCAGATGGTTAAATGAAACCATATGCATTTTCAGAACAACACAGAAATGTGCTTCACGTAATCCATTTGGCATGCATTTACTGAATGTGCCCATTCCTTTCCTCTAAAAATGTTCAGGGTAAATCTTAGAAGTCTCACTACTGAATTGATTTGTACTCAAGTTTTACACAGATTTGGATCATGTCTAGTGCTTCCAGTGGGAATAGCTCTGTTTTACTAGTATTTTCATATTAATGTTTTTGTTTTAGATTTCTCTTACAAAGCTGGAGAATAGTTTAGGGAATATTCTGAATGGAAATCAGAAGTTTTGTCTTCATGAGAAAGATGTAAAATGATTCCTCAGCTGCATTGCATCCTCTGTCAGGGCATGGGAATAATCACCCTCTCTGAGAAAATGTTTCTGCAGCCAGTTGTAGCTACTTAGATATTCTCTACATAACCCCACAAGACAACACCTCCACCTGCCATCACAAATGGACTACACGTGGCATGATTCTTCCCCCTGGCTGTGCCAAGTACTTTGTTGTCTTGTTGCTAACATTGTTAGCTATTGCTTCACAGCTCTTTTCCTGGAAGAAGAAACTGGTTACATCTGGGAGAGAGAAGACAAAGAGGTGTTTATGTAGGAATCAGAGAATCTCAGAATGGTTTGGGTTGGAAGGGACTTACAGCCCATCCAGCCTCAGCCATGGGCAGAGTTCCCACCCACCAGATCAGGCTGCCCATGGCCCCATCCAGCCTGGCCATGATTGCCTCCAGGTTATTTGGAAGCACAATTTACACACTGGTGTGTATATATCCTTTTCCCAATGATTCCACTGCGTGTAGTTTCTCATAACTTAATAATATAGCTAACAATGCAGTTAATAATACAGTTTTGTAATATAATATAGTTAATAATGCAGCTTCCTAACAGTGGTTTTAACTTTAGCCAAACCAGCCTGTACTACTGAAGAAGTTTAATTTCAAAAGGTCAGTTACACCCTTCATATGAGTTCAGGAAAGCATACTGTTTAGCAGATAACCTTTACACAAAGCAAAAGCAGATACTGGACAAACAGTATATCTCAGAGCCCTGTAAGTGCACCTTGCAACTATGGGTTATATTTAGCTCTAACCTTGTTTTGAGAACAAGGTCAATCAGATCTCATGTTTGGGAAATTCAGGACACAGTTCTTGCAGGTGGCACCATCTGAGCCCCTCTGAAATGGACACTCACTGCTAGAGGTCACGTTCACTTCCACCAGCCCTATGCCCTGAGAACAGACCAGGGGCATGAGTCCCAGGCGTAACTCACTTCTGGCATGTAATGAGGCAGTCTTGCACTGCTCAACTATTCATGCAAATGAAGCTCTCCTTATGCTCAGCAAAGAGCAAGAGATCATTATACAGTGAGCTGGTATTACCAGCTGTAGGTTTGTGTCTACAGCCTATGGAGCAGACAGAATATGTCACCATTCTCGTTGCTGATTTGTGTTGCCTGTACACTCCTACGTTGATTTGAGACTGCAGAGCTGAATTACTGGCTTGAAGAAGCTTCAGCATATGAGGCAAAATAATTAGGGGTGTGAGAGTCATTGTTGATCAGAGGCACTATTTCATCATCAGTGACATTGCTCTTACCAGCACTCAGGATGAGCCATTTGCCTAGGTGATATCCCTATATAGGTTTCAACTCTAAGTCAGCATCAGCTTCAGCACAGCTTACCAATCCCTAGAGGCCAGGCAGCTGTTCTTGTGAAGCCTGTTTTTAATGTCTAGGCTTTGCCGCTCTGTTTTAAGTGTATCAGAACAGTGCTGGGGTCCCCGCTGTAGCTCTAGCATCCAGCACAGCAAAAGCCAGCTGTGCCCATCTGATCCCCAAAATCTGATGGTTGGATCCCAGCAAGAAGAAAATCTGGCAAATACAGTTCTGCTATAGGCACTGGACTAAAGCTAACGTGCACTCAACCAGAGTTTCATTTACAATCACAGTTACATAGATCAAATAATCTGCTGAAGTCAGAGAAACATCAGACAAACTTAGGCTGGCTGTGTCATTTCAAGACAGCAGTTATTTTTATTTTTACTGAAATGATAAATTCAAGTTAATTGCTCACTGGGAGTGGCTGCTGGTTAGGACAGGAAGGTTTTGTGCACACAATGAACAGAGCAAGGATTGAAGTTAAACGGTTAGGTGTGAAAACTTAATAAACTGTATTTTGGTAAGGGGAAGATAGAAATAATCATGGGAATTTGAGCAGTGCCACTCAGCTACTCTAGCTCATCCTTGAGATGTGAGAAAGCAAGCATCTTTAGTATGACGCTCGTATTCAAATGCTCTTCTCAGTGTGTTTCTTGCCTATTATGAAGGCAAAAGGGAACTCTTCAGGCAACTGAGGAACATCATGAGACAAAGCCACACAGCCACGTAAAACCAACAGCAATGAGGAATGTGCAAGCACTGGAGAACTGTACTTGTGTGACCTCCTGGACGTCACAGCAGCAGTTTAAACACACAGGCTGTGACCTGTTTCCCTGTACCTGGCTCCCCAACTAAGCAATCTAATGAAGACCCAGAACTTTGGCTGGTTATCTTACTTTAGAAAACAAAAAGGCACTCGATTTCTTTTGTTATCAACCCTGTCACTCACCTTATGGTCTTCCACAAGCCTCCTGAGTTTGCTCTGAAAGGGGTGAGAAATGCAAGTAGAAAAGTCATTAAGCTTCAACAGGAAGGAAGTGAACTGGAAAATCTTGTTCAGTGTTTTTCTGTCTAGTACATGCGATGCTTGGCAAGGTCAGGTTCTCACTGTACCATTCAGGACAGATAATTTTGCAGCATTACAACATTTAAGACTAGAAATAGAAAAGGACTAAAAGGGAATTAAAAAAACAATGGAAATCCAAAGACATAGCTGTCTGGTGACCTGTGATGGTATCAAGGCAAAAAGAGGCTGTCATTTCTTATCATCTGTTGTCTTACCATGGTCTTATCACCAGCTGTTTGTTGGATCCTCTTCTCATCTTTGGTACTGTGCTCAATTATCCATTGTTAAACACCACAGTGGTTTAGCAGTAGCCATTTCTATTCCTCACAGGAGCAAAGACCCGCTGGAAGCTCTTTTCCTTGTAAACCCCTTAAATACAAAGAAACTGGCAGCATAAAGCATGACTCCCTTAAGTGAGCAAGCACAGAGGAAGTAGCTCTTCTTCCCCACTCCACTGTCTGTGTGATGCTGTGCACAGTCCAGGCTGAGAGCTAATTTCAGGCATCTGAAGTCTACCAATTCCTGCCACCTGCTTTTTCTATCAGTCAGTTTTCTGCACAGAAGGTTAGTTCACCCACACTCTGGAACGTTCAACTTCCTTTTACCTTCACTAGGAGGAAAGATAATCCAGAAGGATTTTGAAAGAATGAAAGATTGGTTTTCTTCTAACACGCTATTAATAATGTTAATATTTCTAGAGTGCATTTTAGTGGCAGTCCTCAGCATTATGTCTGTATTGAATACCATCTTATTTAAAAATGCATGTGAATTTTACGTGGCTCTGTGCGTGTGTGTTTGGAATACGCAGTAATGGAAGATAGATAGCATTTAATTATGCCATTTGTTTCTTGAGTGTAAGGCTACTGTTTGTTTTAACCAAACATCCTGCTACAAAAAGCCATCAATAGATGTGACTCATTACCTTTCCTACCTTGACCAAATATCATGCCCAACAATTCAGCCCCCTGTGCAAGCTGAAGACCTCTAATCTAGATGCAGGACAGGCAGGAGACTGAAGCAGGCAGTAGTTATTGGAGAGCACAAGGATGGCGCAGTGAACACGTGGCCTGTGGCACTCCTAGGGATTTCCCCAGGACAGCTTTCCTGGCCTGGGGCAAATACCCTGGTGTCTCAAATGCAGGTTTTCCACAGATTGATACATTTGTCTAGCTTTTTGTCCCCCTGCTTTCTGAGTTACGTTATATCAAATCCAAAGAAATTTTCCCACAGCGCTTTCAGTTTTTCCCTGCATCCTCTACTGTGGCCATCCTCTTTCAAGAGCTCCTTCCCAGGATGGGCTCAGAGACAGCAGGGGTGCCATTTTCAGCACTGCTTTTTCAGAGCTGGTCTGAAAAAACAGGAGCAGCTTGGAACAAGTGGTGCCATAGATAGAATGTGATACTGCAGTAACTGTGTCTCCTAATCCCTGATCTGCACATCTGTGCACTCAGGCTTTTGAGGTCATAGGTATTTCCTTCCCATGGTGCTATTGCTGATATTTACATGAAAAGTAGCACAGTTACAGGAACTGCATTTTACACTGCATAGTGCTATCTGCACAGGTTTGTTTCTGATCTAATAATCAGGACAATGGCATCAAAATAGGGAAGTACTTGCTTTTTGCAGTAATGTTTGTCCACAACCGTCTGAAGAGGCATGCCTAAAATAACTCTGTTTCAAAAGGCCAGCACAATGAGTACATCCAGTGCAGCAGAAACAATATTTGCGTAGCAAAACAAAAGCATGGGATCTCAGCAGAAAGAACTTATTTTCTCAAATATTTGTCACTGTTTTTAAAGCATGCTGTTACCAGGTGATTCTTTGGCCAGTGAGCACCACTGAGCACCTCTGATCACACTGCTCCAAACTGGAGTTCTGTCTGAGAGAGCAATGTAGCGTACCACCTTTTCATATATGGCATTTTAAAGTTAGAAAACTTCTGATCAGGACTTGCTTAACTCTGAGAAGCTGTTTTTGAGTGCTAGCAGGTGGATTTTCTTCTTGCTGTTGACTCACACTAGCACTGAAGCATCACGACTTTTTTCAGGTTGACGTATCCGGTTGCATTCTTGTTTGCTCATGCAGGTGTTTTACGTACAGCCCCAGGACAACTGACGCTACTGGAAAGCAGCTGCAGCATAGGCAGCATTGTAGGAATTCACCACTTCAGTCTAGTTCAGCTCTGAGCTCACAAGAAAATAAGCCCAAGTCATCCCTTAGCAGGCAAGCCTATCATCAAACTTCTGTAAGAAAACTTGCTCAGGAATAAGTCGTTTTTAAAGAACATTAGAAACAGCTCAATTCTCTTTCAGCTGACCAGAGGTGAAGGTTTTCCTCTCCAAACACCTGACCACGTGAGCCCAGCTGGAAACTTATTTCCCTATTACAGGAATGAAGGACTTTCTCCAAGTACTTCATTCCATCCCTGCGTGATGAAAGATAAAAGTTTACAACCACCTGCCACCTGTTTCTGATGCTAGAAAATACATTATGCCCTTTGGCATGGTGAAGAGAGCATGCAGGAAAGATCCCGTAATTGCGTACGAATGGCTGATGGGGAGCAATAAAAGGGACACTGCTCTCAGCAGCATTCGTGCAGTGGAGCCTCCAGAGCAGCTTCCCACCTCAGCTGTTCCACCTTTTTGTCCCCACGGTACAGCAGTGGCACAGCACGGGGACGTGCACTGTGATGTGAGTGAAGTGAACCTCTGACACCACAAATGTCTTCTGTATTTCATCAGCCTGCTTCTCCATGTGGGTATACCTGTGAAGGAACTTCAGGTTCCAAGGACTAAAAATGTCATCTGCCTGAGGAAGAAGCACTTGATTTCCTCTGGGGAATTCAATACAAGAAGAGAAAAGCAGGAAGAAACGGCTCATTTGTAAGCCAGTCTGGCATACAGTGAGTGTTTAAAAAGGCTTCGTTTCTTTTGCAGCAGTACTGATTCTTCCTTGGAGTTCTGCTTCTTAATTTCACTTCTCCCCACTGGCTTTGCGTGTTCTCCAGTAGCCAGTTTGCCCAGACTCAAGGATTCAGGTGTCAGTGTATCACCTCCTGCTGTGCAAATACATATCAGAACATTTAATTCTCTGCTTTAGCACCGAGGGATTATTATTACATTTGATTTTAATCATCTTCTGGAATATACCCAGCCCTTTCCCTGTGCAAGTTGTGCTTTGTACAGAGATTGTTTTAAGAAGTTTTCACGTGAGATGGACCAAGGGCTAGCACTGAGCACTCACCATCACACTCAACATCTCTTGGGCTTTTTCTGCTATTCCAAGGAAGAAAATCCTTCCTGGGGTAGTTAAGCCCAAAAGAGAATTAAATACTTTGGTGGCCAGGCAGTACCACAGCCTCCCATGAACAGGCCCATGGATTGCACACAGCTGTACTCTTGCCAGAATGGAGCAGGGGGAGGATCTGCTAGAAATCTATTTGAAAGAGCTTTTAAGCTGTAGATTTGGCATAAGCAAAGCCCTGTTTTTACAGCCTCATAATGAACTCTGAAAAAAACCTTTTCCTTTGGCCCCGTGCCTATCTACCTGTAATTTAATCAAGGGGGGGCAGCAGCAGTCCTGGACTTTCAAGACAATTTCGCCTCCTCGCACTTGCGCAGCCCACCTCAGCAGAGAAAAAAAATGGGAAAAAAAGGGAAGGAGGAAGTGCCTCAAGAACGTAGCTTTAAAGTTCTTATGACATTAAAGCCAGCACCTCAGCCACTGGATGTTTGCTGATACATTACAGAAAAAGGTGATCCTTATTTTATCCTAATGCCTTGAAGAAGGTACACGACAAGTTCGTAGCTGAAGCAGGGATTCCCTGCAGAGATCCCAAGCCATCTTTTGTCCGTCCAGCATTGATCTGTCTGCCTTAGTTTATGAAGGGATGCAGAAGCTCAGTTGCTGAGAGCTAGAGCTCCAGGGTACATTCCTGATCAAAACACAATTACCTGGCAGCTTCACCCAGGCAGCTGTGAAATCAACCATGGAAGGGAAGGGTGAATGAAGATGCTAACTGCGCTAACAGCAGTCAGCCTCTCCATAGTGACGCAAAGCAGGAGTCACCTGCATAATGTGACAGCACAGGTCTGTGTGAGAGAGAGCTGAGCCTGCACACCCCAGCACGTAGCTGCTGCTCAGCAGAAGCTGATTGCGTTATTCTCAAAACAAGGGAAACTGTTAACGCCTGCTTTGGAAATCCAAATCCTCCCCCCACGTTCTGGAAGGGGGAATTACCAAATGAACCATCTCTCTCACTCCCCAAACATAAGGCACATTAAAATGTTCCTTTCTGTAAATATGGGTGCTGTTAAAACGGTCTATTTAACTGATGCATTACCTGGGTGCTGCCAGAGTTTAGTGCCTGCTGCATGCACATGCTGAGTACGTGCTACAGGGATCAGAGGAGATGAAAAACAACCCTTTTTCCTCCTCAGAACCATAAGCAAAACAGCTTTAACTTGGTAACTGCTTAACACTTGATCCTAACGGCAAACCAGCCCTTCTCCTTTCTTCTTCACCTTCACAGGCAGCTCTGCTCAACAGCCACCATGGAATTTAGCAACAAATGCCTTACGGAGCTCAAAGCGTTAAGGCACACTGGCATGAAAACAACACCAAATGACACAGTGTTTTCAAGTATTCTGTAAGAAAAAGAAACCAAAACTTTATTTAGTAGAAAACTTTCAGAATACAAAATGGGTCTGTTTGTAGTATTACAAGGACAACATACTCATTAAAGATAATTCCTGTTCTCCTAAGGTATAGTCCCGTTTCATGCTGCACCCTTTATTTGTTGCTTTCATCCTCACAGAGTGGCTGAGCAGTTCTTCTTCTGCAATGCCATCAAAAAAGAAGTCCTCATTGAAGATGGGATTCCTGCTTCTCTTTATAACAGTGCTTCTCTGTTTCTGTGTTTTCCCTGGCACCAGGGAGAGGGTAATGCAGCAGTTTATGTTTTTGGGCTCTACAGAGTCATCATATAAACCCTCTGCACTGATCAGACGGATCCTCAGCCTTTCATTTTCTGAGCAGTATTCAGCTGACAGTCTCAACATGCCCCCCTTGTCCATGACTACGGTGCTTTCTCCCACCAGTCTCTGCCGGCCTCGGGCAAAGTCCAGGGGAAAGAGGGGAGAACAAGACACACTGCAGCTCCGTGCGGCGAGCAGCCCCTCCGAGGCCCGCCTGATGGCACTGGGACTGTTATCAGTGGAGCTGCTCTCTTCTGTAGACAGAGAATTATTCCTGGACATGCCAGATTTGTTCTTGGCCTTCAGTGCTCGGCAGAGCAATCCTTCCTGACTTCGTGCCTTGATCAAGGAGCAGGATCTGGGAGGCGATCTGCTGAGAAGGGGGGAGCTGAAAGGAGAGGAGTCGCTGGAGGAGGCAGTGTCACTGTCGCAAGCACCCTGCCTGTGCAGGTGCCTGGGAGGCAGCCTTACCGAAGTGAAGCTGATAGCAATGGGATTGGACGTGTTCCCTTTGCCACCGAACGTGTTAGCTCTGGATCGAGGCAGCGTCAGGCTGGGCAGAGCCCCGCACGTGTCACCGTGGAAGATGGATTCCTTTCTCCTGGTGTGGGGACTCTCCAGCAAGGTGCAGAAGCCGTAGGAAGTGGGAGCTCTGGGGAAGTGAGGCAGGGAGAGCGCGGCCTGGGACTGCGGGTCTGAGTTGGTGCCTTCTTCCTCCAGCGCTGGGAACTCTTCAGCACTTTCCACCTGGATGAAGTGGGGCAAAGAATAACCGGAGCTGCGGTCAGAGGAACTGAGACGTGCATCCTCTGAGCCGTGTTGCTGGCGGGAGCCGGGACCCTGAGCAGGAGCAGCGCTGCTCAGCCGGGGGGGGATGCAGAACTCCGGGATTCTGTCCGGGGTGAGCACGTTGGGGAAAGCAGCAGCCCCCAGGCGGGCTTTTTCCAGCAGATGTTGGCCGGGTGGCAGGCCCAGGAAGGAGGCACACGGGAGGTTCCTGCTGCCCTGCGGCGGTCTGATCTTGTCCAAGAACCACATCGCTGCACCCAGACGGGAGGTCCGCAAAGGAGAAGAGCCGAGAAGGCAAATCTACCTGTAGACACAGAAATGCAAAACTACATTAACGTGTTTCCCAGGCACGCTGCAACAAGGCAAAGCACTGAGGATGCTGAGAACAGCGGGACCGGCACAAATGCAGTCCGCACGTCCAAACGAGCAGCCTCTGCTCGACACGCCGCCGTCAGTAAAGCCTCATGGATTTTGCCGCAAGGACAAAATGAAGCCACCAGAAGAGAGGCTCAACGACATCGAGTCGCTACCCGCCCCGAGCGACCCCTCCGTGCTCCCCCGGAGCCGAGCCGATCCCAGGCCCTACCTGCCGGCTCCCAGCCGCGCTCCACTCCGGTATCTCCGCGGCTGCCGGTCCTTTTCTAGCGGCGCCGGGCGCCTCCCACAGGATGGGAGGGACGGAGGCAGCGGGGGGGCTGCGGGGCCCGAACGTCCTCTATGCCAGCGCGCTCTTAACCGAGCGTGGAACGGTCATAGAACGAGCACGTGGCGAAAAAGCTCGATTTGCGCCTGGCGCCCTCGCAGAGCAGCGCCCGGCTGGGGAGGGCTAACCCTGAGCCACAGCCGCCCCTGCGGGAGGAAGCCCCTCGTCCTCCCCGTTCCCAGCTGCTTTCCATTCGCGGCCGCTTTCGAGATTATCTATCAAACGCAGTACAAAGGCAGAATTGTCTCGGTACTTCCTTTCTTCTTGAGAGCCTGGCTGTTTTCCAAACCAAGAGCAGTAGGAAGCGTGGAGAGCGATTTTCCCACCTCATTTGAAAAAGACGTGGCTGCTTTTCTGCATCGGGCTGCGTGTCCCCTCGCCATGCTATCCACAGAGCGTGAGACAAATAAGCCCCGAGGCAGCACCTGTCAGTAACACAGAGCAACGGTGCAACCAGAATGTGGATGAAATAAGTAGAAAGGGGGCAAAGAAACGCTTTTGCAAGTCACCTTGACAAGGAGCATCTTAAAAATGCAGGCATGCACGTCCCTTATGGGACGTCGCACAGAGCACGGTGGGATCCGTGAGCTTTCCCAGCACAGCTCTGCAATGCAGCAGAACACAAATGGAGCTCTGCACACTTTATGATCGTGCTAAAGGCTGCTAAGAGAAACCTTCACTGCACACCTGTGAAAGGTTAGCTGAAGCTCAGCTGAAGCTGAATGCCTGTAACACAGTGCCAGGAACAATTTTGTCTTTCCTTTCCTCCCTGAAGAGCTAAAGTTCATGTTTACTTGGCTTGAAATAGACTGGATGTGCTCAGGAGGAAACAGATCAAGTGGGTTTCAGGGGCAGGGAACATTTTGAACCTGCTGAAAGGTTCAGCTAGGAACACACGTGTCCTGGGGCTCAGCCCTGCCTCACTGCCGCTCATTTTACAAGCTTCACTTTCGTAATCATCCTCTAGGGGGTTAAATAAGACACAATCAAAATGCCCGAAAGCGCTCTGCAAGCTAATGCATAGGGGTCTGGAGGGGGATCCTGCACCTTCCCCAGCACTTGGGAACACGCTCCTTTGGGCAGCAGAGCTGCACGGCACACATTGCATGGCACACACTACAGCGGCACTGGATGGTAGCACCACAACCCGTATACTGCATAGCACAGAACTTCCACAGCGTAAGGGAGCTTCATCCCATGCCTCTGCCTTTAATATCAAAGAAAGATTGGCCTCTACAAATGGAGAAAAGTGAAGAAACTGGGGGCTTTCTAGTGGGAAGCTTATTATTTCTAGTGACAGTTCACAGATGTTGCCCAGAGCTGGTCATCATGGCACGGTGTGATAAAGCAGCTACCCTGCTTTAGGTGCACCATTTCCATTTAGCCTTCATCTACACTTAGCAAAAAAAATCGCTAGAGATTCCCCAAATCCCCTCATCTGTCACCCCCCTCCTTCCAGTGACTGAGGGCAAGCAGGTGCCTAATGGTGGGCGCTGTGAACCCCCCTCCCAGTCACGCTGTGGCCATTTACAGACAGCTGCTGTGCTGGCAGCTCGGCGGCCCTGGAGTACTTGTACAGCTCCCTGGGAACAGGCACTCCAGCGCACGATTAGCTGCTTAGCTTCCTGCCTTCAAAAGAATTGCTCTTTTCCTCTAGTAGTTTCAGAGCGTAATTAAAAAGCAAGTAAGCTTCCTGTTGCTATAAAAACGCCTGCAATAAGCCTCTTCTGAACGGGAAGGGCTATAACTCGTGGATGAGGCTTTCCCACCCCCCCGTACCGAACATCGGGAGGAACTCCACGACCGGTGCTGGAGGAGCCGGGGCAGCGGAAGCCCCCAGCCGGGTGACGCCGGGCCGGCCGAGCCCAGCCGCTCTTAGGCGACTCCGCGCCGCTTTCGTTCCCGGAGCCGCGGAGCAGCGGCGGCCCACTGGCGCCCCCTGCCGGCCGCGTGCTGCGGCTCCCGGGGCTGCGCCGGCCTCGAGCGTCTCGAGGCTCCATCCACCGGAAGTTCTTGATTCAGGGTTTAGTTTAGAAATGATTTAATTCTCCCGCAAACAAAGCAATGCCCTGCTTATTTGTTAAAGAAACACGGGTAGCTCCACAAGCTGCCGAGCATGAAGATAATATGCGTGTACGCCCCACACCCAACCACTGTAAGCTATTTCTGTGATGGAAGGAGAGCATCCTTAGCCTGTACAACTGCACAGCTTGTCCAGTGCAGCTGTTTTGGTAGAAAACATCTCTATTTACACTAATCCAGAGGTGTGCTCCAGTTATTCATCTATCATAGAATGGCTTAGGCCGAAAGATACCTTAAAGCCCACCCACCCGCTGCAGTGGGTTGGCTGTCTCTCAGCAGATCAGGCTGCTCAGGATCCCATCCAACTTGGCTCTGCACACCTCCAGAGATGGGGCGCCCACAGTTTCTCTGGGCATCTGTGCCAGTGCCTCACCACCCTCTGAGTAAAGAACTTCTTTCTGATGTCTAACCTACATGTCTCCTCTTTCAATTTAAAGCCATTCCCCTTGTTCCATAATTAGCAGGCTGCATAAAAAGTTGATTGCCTTCCTGTTTGTAACCTTTCTTCAAGTACTGGAAGGCCACAGTGAGGTTTCCCTGCAGCCTTCTCTTCTCCAAGCTGAACAAGCCCAGCTCCCTCAACCTTTCATAATAGGAGAGGTGCTCCAGCCCGTTGGTCATTTATGGCAGTGGTTGGCTCAAGGGACTGGAAGGAAACCCAGGGGAAAGCCTTTCACCCCGGGTGACAGTGGGTCCTGAGGTGCAGACACACAGCACAGGAGCTCCCCACCCCCAGCTCAGGGCACATCACCTCCCCTAGGGCTTGGCAGTCTCAAAGAGTCCCCTGGAAGAAGCTCAGACTCTACCCTTCCTGCCTGGCACTTCCAGCCAAGATGAGCAAGAGGAAAAGAAAACCTTTTTGCAGTGTCAACTGTATAGGGAGTAATAGGGAACTTGCAAGGAGAGCAGGGATGAGGTGGCAAAGACTTCCAACGGTCATTCAGTTGTAGTTTCCTGAAAAAACATCAATAGACTGAGAGGCATTTGGACTTTTTTTTGTTAGATATCAATATTGTAAGCAAATATTTAGCACATTGATTCATTCCTGTCATTTGGACAAAGGTCTCATGGCAGCCTGCTCACCACTTCCAGCCTAGATCAGTCATTTGTGTAGCGCGCTCAGTAGTTGCAGAGATCCAGCAAATCTAATCTGAAAACTTTCTTATGCTATTTCATATCGTGTAGCAGCTGGTATTTTATCTCATCAGCAGAGGCCAATTCCTGTGCAATTTTGTAAGTGTACTTGCTCCTCTGAACAAATGAATGAAAGAACTGAAGAATGAACGCTGCTTGGCAGCATGAGCATGTGAGTAGCAGGGCCTTTCAGGCACACTTAGGCTTTATGCAGAGCGTATCAAGTGCCTCTGGCCCACCAGGTTGATCTGAAGAATTCTTTCTTTGAAGTGTATTATATGGTCCTGTGACAAGAAGCTGACACTTGCCATTCAAAACCCAAAGAGATTATGCTGTCCTAATTCCACTGCCACTGAACTCAGCAAAACCAGTCTGGTCTCAGTCTGAAGTATGGTACTGCAGAAGCATCTTGCCACATGTTTCTTTAAATGCTTCTCCATGTTTAAAATGGAGATATACCCAATCCCAGGCAGTATCTCCTTCATATCTATTTCAAACCTGACATTTACAGCCTTTATACTATTTCCCCTTCCACACTCACACACTGTCCTCCAAAGAGCACAGACCAGAAACAACCTTAAACAGAAGGAAGGAAAGGTTAGTTCTCTTCTGCACCTCAAACACAGGCTGTTGAGCCTTCCTGGCTGGCTGCAGTGTGTCCTGCAGGTACAGTACGTATAAAGCTTAAGTGCACTAGGTGACGTTGCTGTGTTGAAGTAACAACCTGCTAGTACAAACAGCACTCATGGGAATGAATGAGGCAGCAAGCCAAGGCCATTTCAAAAAGGATGATTTACCTTGTCAGAACATGCCAGGTCTTAATTCAGAGTGTTAAATGTTTTAAAAACAGGTGTGTTGACAGACATCACTTCCCTCCCATGTCAAAGACGGGGGTGTCAGTGAACAAGCAGAGTTTCTTGGCTCACCCATGATAACATGAACTGCAGCTGCCTGCAGGCCACAGTGTTCTGTGAGAGCCTGTGAATATGACAGCTCCAAGGAGCCAAGTCTCCCCTGCTCAGCTGCACACCATGACAGCAGGCATCAAGGAGCCACTGCCCATTTTGGGAGTTCTGCTGTCAGATAGAGGGCTCCTAATGTGCACATGCAGGAGTGCGTGCCTGAAAAGCTGCCTCCAGGAGCACATGAGAAGGTGCTTCAGAGTCTGCTGGTGTAAAAGCTATTGTTGTTACAGAATACTAATTGCATCAGTATTTTGTGCTCTCCAGATATACAGCTAGAGTACTTCTCAAGGACAAACACCAAGTTAGTCATCTATTTAAAACTTGATATAAATGTTTGTTGAGTAGTTAAAAAAAAAATCTACAATGCAGAGCTGATTCCCTCCTCCTCATCACATGGTGAACCCCTATTTGTTTATATCAGCTGATCCCTAGACTCTGTTTGATCTAAGATTTGACTTGGAGATATTCCTGCTTTACAGTAAGGTAAGGCAGCCACTGCCAGTCCAGGCAGCTCCACTCAGACTCACAAGTATAACATTAAGAAGCAATTTGATGAATCAGAAGAGGATTTCCTACAAGTATTACAATTTAATTGAACGCCTTTATGAAGAAAGTGACACACTGATAGGACTGGCTTCAGCATCTTGGTGGATAGGAGAAAAATCATGCAAGCGCAATCCATTTCAGAATGGCATCGCTAGTCAGCAGCACCTCATAAACAAAAAAGGTTGCTTTTGGTACAGTGCAAAGCTTTGCTTCAAATGACATTTGAAAATCACCATCAACTCCCAGCCCTGACACTTGCTGGTGTTCATCTATATCCTGCCTCCAGATCTGACTGGCTTCTCCCTCATGGAAAATGCCCAAGATAGAAAAATTATGCAAAGATTAGACTTGGATTTTTTTCCAAACTGATGGGAATCCAATGCAAGGAGGAATCAAAGTATTTCCTCAGACCTACAGCATGTAGCCCTCCAGATCTAGACTGTGCTCCTGCTTGCTAACTCTGCATTTTGCAGCAAATGGCCCGTCACCAGAATACACTTAATTCTAGAAAAGGAGAAGCAGAAAGGTGATACATCCTTGCCATGGAGTGTCTGACGACAAATCCTCACTGTGCTGACAGTATCAGCCCCATCCGAGATCTGTATTGCTTTTGCTTTTCCTTTTCTGTATGGGCTACAGAACATCATCTGGCAGCAAAGGTGAAGAGTGAACAACCATTTCACCACGATGTGACCTGGTAGGAAAGAAGAAAATTGTTCGTGCAATAGATCTTCAAATCCAACATGACCACCTACAAGCTTCTGAAATGTATTTTACCCTCTGATATGGAACTCCACAGCCTTTGACACAGGTGTACAAAAACTGACTGGCTTAAATTCTTCATCTGATCTATGGCCTGTCCTTTTGCAGTAGCTGTGTGCCACAGCTTGAAGCTTTAGTCCAGCACAAGCTGTTGATATTTTACCAGAGCTCTATCCTCCTTTGTCTCTAGGTATTTTTCTGTATAATCCTTTTCTTCCCAACCTCTCTACATGAGCAG